TCTGAAGATTCTGAAGATATTACTTCTAAAAGAACGAGTGCTGAAGATTCTCAAGATAGTTCTGCTGAACAAAGACCTTGGAGTTCTGAAGATTGGGTTTCTAAAGTTGCAAATAATTGAATCTTTTATAACATGCTTCATTAAGATATATCTGAAGCCTCTAAAGACATTAGAAAAAATGAAGATAAGAATGATTTTGAGTTGAACAAAAGAATGCAAAAACTATAACCTCTACCAAGATAAGGTGGCGCAAGAGAAGCTTTTTGTACAGTGATGCTAACCATTCCTTCATGTGAACGTTGAGATATTGCTGTTGGAATATGTTTCAAAGAATGCCCCTCAATGAATCTATTTTTTCAAGCTCTATAAATTGAAGATCACGAAGCTTGAAGAATTGTTGATTGTTGATTGTTGATTGCTCATTGCTGGTTACTGAATGCTGGTGATAACACGCTGCTATGAAAAACCAAAGTGCTGAAGAAAATACTACAAGCTGAAGCTTATATATAGAATTCTCAATAAAGAATAAGAGGAAGAAAATTGGTCGAATGTGTGTACAACGATGCAACATGCTAAAACCATGTATAACTAGTAAAGTGAAACATCAATAAGTGAAGCATAGTAACTTAGTTGATCTTGATGGTTAAGCTGGAAAGAAGCATTACCTTCTCAAGAAAGGAGTTCATTAAAAGAAGCTTAAAGCTCATGAAAAAAAGCTGTAGTGCTCATCAAGAAAGCTTTTAAGCAATAGATAACTAATGTTTTATAATCTCTTAGAGATTCATTCTTTAGATAGTTTTGTATTAGAAAGCAAGGAGCTGCTACGCAAGAACTTTTTAGAAACACTTAGGTGTTCTTGTACTTCATTTGTGTAATGAGCTTGTGAGAAACATATTAGTGCACAAGAAAATCCTTGTAAAAGGTGTTGTTCTTTGAGCGGTTAAGTGAAGACCAGAATGCTTGAGATGATTGAGCGTGTTTCTAACAGCTTAGTGGATAATTTCCTTGAACGGTCAAGTGAAGGCCATAATGCTTGATATGACTAAGTGTGTTTCTAACAACTTAGTGGATGATTTCCTTGAGAGGCTAAGTGAAAGCCAAGATACTTGAGAGGGCTAAGTGTGTTGTGTAACAACTTAGAGGTTGTAATTATTTTGATGATTATTGGATTAAGTCCTTGTCTAAGGCAAAATCACCTTGGTGGGTGGACTGAAGTAACTTCGTTAACAGTGAAACAAGATAAAAATAATTGTGTTCATTTATTTTTATTTACTTTTTAATGTCATTATTTTAATTCCTCAAAAAGGGGACGAAATGTGAAACCCAACTCAAACCCCCTTTCTTGTGTTTCTCAACCTTCAAGAGGTGGCAAAGGTCTAGAAGTTGAAGTTGTTTCCTTGTTCTTCTGGCTTGAAGATATGTACTTCATGGGGGAAGATCTAAGATGTTTGTGAATTCCTATAGATATAGAGATATCTTGTGCTTTCTTAAATTGGAATAAATTGTCTCACCAGGGAAATAAATATTTGAGAAGAACATCTTGACTAGTGATGAATACACATTTCTTGGAAGGATGCAGATGAATGTGGCTAAACTCAACTCTTCAAAGATCTTGAAGAATTCACATTCCTTAAATATTCTAGAGTCCAAGGTATGGATTCTCAAGATGGTTCTACTTGCGAAGTCATGGAAGAATCTTCCTTCTTGTTGTTGAGATGTGAAATCATCAATTAGAGGGCTAAATGCTAATATTAGCCTCCCGGGTGCCATGCTGATGATGATGTAATATTGAAGTAATAATCACACACACACGCGCGCACACACACATATTGAGAGAAAAATAATTTGTGATGTAAGAGAGCGAAAAAGGGTTACCTATTTATAGCAAGCTTTTGGAGATTTTAGGCGTGTAAAACATGCACAAAATCAATGAGGATTATGTCCAATAAAGAACAGAACTAAATCTTCCTTAATTAGCTTATCTAATCTATTAGATTTAGGCTTTAGTAAATTAGATCCTAATATATTCATGGATTTCGTGCATTTTTCATCAATGTGCATATTTGATTGACTTGGAGGCAAAGTTTCTATCTAATTTGATTTGAAAATTGAAGGACAAAGGCAACCTAATCAACTAGCTTGTGGCCTCAATTGACCGAGGTTTTGCAATTCAACCTCATTGGTGTTTATTGGGTCTTAGATGCTATTGCCATAAAGAGACACGTTGTAGAGGATTTCTTCGAGGCGCTGTAACCTCTCCTTAATCGCGTGTGAATTCTATTGTCGAACAATGTTATACATATTGTTTAACAGCTCGTTCACACCTTGAAATCCAAGGTTTGCTTGCAACAAATGTACACTTGGTAAGGCTTCAGGCAACAAGACTGAAGATGAAAGTAAAGGTCCAATTGGAGGCGTCTGGACATACCCGACTATCTTAGAAGCCTGTACCAAATTTGAATCTTTTGGAAGCCCTATTCCAAGATTTGTGATACTTTGCGGAGGAGGTGGAACTGGTTGATTAATCGCTGCCAAAGTAACAACGATAACTTCACGCGCAACAACGGGTCAGGTAACTTTGGATCCAACCATTTGTTGGAATTGTAGAAACTGGAGATCTGAAATTCGAAGAACCAAAATTAAAACGATGCTTGATTCGACCGAACACGATAGATATTCGTGTTTGATTATGCATGCTCTTGATTCAGTGACATGAGGAGGTTACAAACTGATGAATCAGGGAGCGAACATGAAATCATGAAAATCGTAGGAATCAGAAGTTAATTCCCACAAACGGCGATACTGTTTCGTACTAGAAGCAGAAATGGAGTGAGGATCAGAAGTGATGGTGGTTTTAAGCTTACGACACGATAGAGATGGGAAATCTTCAAGGGTAGCACTCTAACGATAAGTCATTATGTGAGGAAGAAGAGTGAATTCAAATCATATTTGAAACTTGTTACCTTAATTTAGCGTTTTTTCTATATATAAAAAGAGGAAAATAACAAACTTTCTATTTGTTAAAAATAAATCGCAGAGAGTCGTCAGATGTGAATGCAATTGAGATCATTAGTGATCGACCACTAGGACGAAAATTCTTATGTGCTAGAATGGTTTTGAAAAAATTACAATTCTCTCAAGGTCGGAGTCAACATAATCGACCCATAACAAAACTGACTAAATATTTGCCCTCTTGTGCATTTTTTTAATATGAGATCTTTTAATTTAAATCGAAGAATATTTTAAAACACTATAGATTATATCCTTTTAGATTCAAGGTATCTTATATTTTTTAGAGAGAAATACATATACATATTTATTAGTCAATGCAAATTTGTTGATAATTCTATTTGATGAGATTTAATTCTATTTGTGCATCTTAATTTATTAACAACTTTTAAAAAATTGATTACAAAAATTTCAAAACATTATTACTTCGGCTGAATTTTAACAAGCATCTTAATTATTTATTAACATTTTTTTCGTTAAACTTTATTCAAATATGGTCAAAGTTTGGTTCTAGAAAAAATCACTTCTACTATATGAGCCATGTCAGAAACCGTTGAACGTTGAATCATGCCTTTCATTTCAATAAGCAATTATTTGAACCTGGAAAGTGAAATACTAAAAAGCAATTTTTTGTGGGCCCCATTACAAGCTGGACGGTAAAGATAAACGTGCTTTTCTTTTCTGCTTTTTCTCAAATCACTTTCTCTACCAAACGCTGTTATCATTATTTTTGTAATAAAATTACATTTTACCCTCTAATATAAATTCCACATTATTGCTTCACTATGTGGCAAATGCGAATGTGAAAATCCAACTTTTGTTCTTTCTCTCTTTGTTCAACCATCACCATCACTCTCACTTCATAGTTTTTGAATTCTCGTGAAGAATCAAGGTATGATCTTCAATCTGGTCAACTTTGTTGTATATATGTATATATGTATATGTATATGTGTGTGTTAGTATCATATTTTATTGTTTTCAGATTCTGAGTTTGCTTTCAAGTTTCAGATCATAGTTTGTTAGTTTTCAAAATTTTCATATCTGGTTGTTGACTGTGTTTGAGTATAATTTCAGTTAGCTTGTTTTTTTTTTTTTTTTTGATTTTGGATTGGGATTTCATGCATTGGTGAAGAAAAAAATCTGATAATTGAGGCAATTTTTTTGAGTAAACAGTTTAGATTTATTGTTGCGGTGGAAAAATTTGATTCTGAGTGAATTGATGTTTTAAAATGATTCTGGTTAAAAGTGAGTTGAATGTGATTTATGTTTGGATAATTTTATGCAAAATTGAGTTGAAGAGGAAACTTCAATGTAAAAATTATGTTTAAATTCAAAATCTATAAATTTTAGCTTTTAGTAGAATCAATTCTAAAGGCCAAATCAATTCTACTTTAAAAGAGCTAAACGCCTCAAAATCATTTCAAAATCAATTCTACATCAATTCTACACTAGAATTGCTTTTTCCTCTTCCAAAAGCTAAACCAAACATACATGTAGATGTTTGAAATTTGATATATGATGATTTCAAATCTATAGAATATTGCAATTCAAATTTAAAGTTATTAAGTTGAATAAGGAAACAAATTATGGAAATTCCTATGCCTAGGTGAAGATAATTCTTTATCAAATTTCTTAATTGTTGGCCATCCTAGTTGCTCGAGCAGCATAAATTCATAATGCTATAGTAACAAGAAAAATATGATTTCTTGATGTTGTCGTAACAAAAAAACAATCATCAATTGTCATAGTGGCATGATAATTCCAAGTTCTGAAAAATATGGACAATAACATAATATATTTTATTACTATTCTTTCAATGCAACCATACATGTTTGAGATTATTTGCATGATAGTAGAATGTGTTGCATGAATTGGTTTATTTACGAAATCAAAAGTTCTGCACTATTTTTTAACCTGCATGTGTTAATCTTGGATTGCTGAATAATCTAGTGTTGCTTTTGACTTGGTGGAGTATTAGAGCTATAAAGACAATGCCTATTATCAATAAAGACTTGGATTCTGCATTCCAAACGGCAGGGGCAAATCCGTATCCTTACAACAAATTTTTTATTTTTTATTTTGAAATTGTCTTATAATTTTTGTTAGCCTAACTAAGTGATAGTTGCCCTTAGGCTCAAGTTGTTCATGGTAAAAAGTGATGATTTATTGGGGAATCTAGGGGAGCGTTGAGAGCAGCAATGGACTAAACCTAAACGTCTAGAACCCCTAAGAGATCTTGATAACATAATTATCCAAAACTTTAAGGCAATAGGTATACGGGCCACATCTCTTATCCAACATTTCCTCCATTCAAAGTCGATGTAAGACTAACCATTCACAATTGATTCTTGATGACAGCTTTACCAAAATCTATGTGGTAAACTTGCTTTAGCTCAACATCATCCATTGGAGACAAAAATAAAAATAATTAAATAAAGTTAGATATCTCCTAGTTCTTTCAAATTTCTGGTTCTGGATCAGCAATGAATTTAATTTTAAAATGTATCATATTTCTAAGTTCAAGTTTTCTGCTTTGTATACTTAACTTAATATTGTCAGTGGTTTGGAAGTTTGGTGTATTGAAAACCAGGAGTTGGTGCTAATGTCAGAGTCAGACCATAGAAAATTCTATACCGGAAGTGCATACATAGTTCTGAATGTAAGATATTTTCCTCAATGCTTGCTTTATTTTCTTGATGATCCTCTTAAACCTAAAAAAAGTTCAGGACTTAAATGCATGAAGCAGATAGTAACTGATATCAAGTATTTTACATGTTTGTGGGAACAGGCAGTTTTCCCAAAAAATGGCCCTCCTCATTATGACATTCATTACTGGCTTGGAAATGACACAAAAAAGGTTTGCATTAACCACTATGTCATTCATTCTCATCATGTTCACTGCAGTTGATTTGATTATTTCTGTAATTTTTCATCGGGTTTTTATGTATTTTCAGGTGGATTCAAGCTTGGCATCAGACAAGGCACTTGAGTTGGATGCGGCCTTAGGATCCTGCAGCGTTCAATATAGGGAAATTCAAGGCCAAGAGTCACAGAAGTTCCTATCATACTTCAAGCCTTGTTTAATACCCATTGAAGGAGTGTTTACTTCAAAGCAAGGGAATTTGAATGGTGAATACCAAGTCAGCCTGTATTCATGTAAGGGAGACTATGTTGTCCATGTGAGAGAGGTGAGTTGTCTTTTAGAAGTTTGACTATTAACTTCTGGTGTTTGATAGTATGAATTATTGTGTCTCCACATGTTATCTGAATGTTTGATTACTAACTAGTTTATTTTGCTTATATTTTTTTAGGTTCCTTTTCAGAGGTCATCGTTGAATCATGAAGATGTATTCATACTTGACACTGCATTAAAAATCTTCCTATTTAGTGGTTGCAACTCTACCATTCAAGAAAGAGCCAAAGGTTTGGAGGTTGTTCAATATATCACGGAGAACAAGCATGGTGGAAAATGTGAGGTGGCCACAATAGGTTGGAATATATGCTACTTTTTTTCCCCTTCCTTTGTTAGTGTTTATATTTGTTTTATGAGGGAAAGATATTGCAAGTCATAAATATACAATTATTGTAGAGGATGGAAAATTTGTTGGTGATTCTGATGTGGGAGAGTTCTGGAGTTTATTTGGTGGTTATGCTCCAATTCCTCGAGAACCGCCTGCTAGTCAGGAATCCGTGGCTCCATCTGCAAAGGCATTTTGGTGAGGTTCATACATCTGTTTGTACAATACTTTCATGAATGCATCAACTTTATTTCTCTTACTTTGATAAATACTTTTGTTCCTCTTAACTAAGGATCGGTTATCGTTAATTCCATGACAGGATAAATCTACAGGGAAAAATTTGTCCAATTGGAAGCAATGCATTCAGCAAAGAAATGCTGGAGTCAGATAAGTGTTATATGTTAGACTGTGATAGTGAAATTTTTGTCTGGATGGGTAGGCAGACCTTATTGACCGAAAGAAGAACATCGATCAAAGCTGCTGAGGTAAGTGTTTCTTGTTTCTCGGTCTGCAGTTTCATCATTTATACTTCCTTAAAAGTCTTTTAATTCTATATGCGTTGGATTCAAATTTCTTTTTATTAATTGATAGTGAAGTCCACTTTGGTCTTTCCGCCTTTGTAATCGTACGAAATGTCGGTTACTATAATGCATGTTGCCAAGCATTGGATTAAGGGATTTACCTATTCTCACTACCATTTCCATTTTTCTAGGATTTTGTTAGAAACGAAGGAAGATCGAGCAAGACTCATTTGACATTTTTATCAGAAGGGTTGGAAAGTACTGTCTTTCGGTCACACTTTACTAATTGGCCTAAAACAGCAGAACCTAGGCTTTACGAAGAAGGACGAGAAAAAGTGGCAGGTTTAGTACCATTCACAATTTAACTGTGTTTAAGAAATGTGCAATCAATGTGTCATCCATAGTTCATTTCTTCATATTTATTTTTTCTGCCGCAGCCATATTCAAGCATCAGGGTTATGATGTGAAAGAGCTTCCAGATGAAAAGGATGATGAGCCATCTATAGATTACGGTGGCACGATAAAAGTAACTTCTTGGTCAATCTGGATGTTCCTTATCATCTTATGATCATATTTACCTTTGCATGTGCTAACTGTTAACTGACTACTGAGATTTCAGGTTTGGCGAGTGGATAGCGATGAATTGTCCCTTCTTCCAGTTACCGAACACACGAGATTTTACAGTGGAGATTGCTATATAGTACAGTATACATTTCCAGAAAAAGGAAGGGATGAGACTCTGTTTTATGCTTGGCTTGGCAGCAGATGTGTAATGGTAGATGTTTTACCTATAATTCATAGAAATGGATTAATCTGTCATTATCAGATTAGTCTATTTCGATAAAAACTGAAATAGAATGGTCAAACAGTAGCTGTTGTTTATTTAGGTTGTTACTTGCTACTTAGATTTGGTGAAATAGTTGCCAATGAAATAATATTAGGTTTTAAAATATATAAGAAAAATTCAGAAATAAAAGTTTATAACTAAAAACTGTCGAAAATTCTAATTTTGTTCGTGATGTACACAGTAGTTCCTGTCTGTAACCTTTCTTGATAAACTCAATCTCATCTAGTTGGATTAGGCTTAGTTGATATTGCTCTTGATAACTTTTAATACAAGGTTCCCCTTATTCTATGGTTTTGTCTCACAGGAGGATAAAACAGCTGCTATTTCCCACATCAATACTATGGTTGATTCGTCCAGAACTAATCCAGTCATGGTTAGTTATGTTCTTACTATGTTAAAGTGATACATTTCAAATTTTTGGATAATATTTGTACAATTTTGATCTTGTAAATTAGTGCTAGATTCGTATTTAAGATCTTAAGCACATTGTATAAACGATTTTTTTCCCTTACTTTACTCTGCCTATTTATTAAATCTGCATTACATTACACGCCTTTTCAGGCTCAAATTCATGAGGGCAAAGAACCAGCTCAGTTTTTCTCAATACTCAAGAGGTTAATCGTATTCAAGGTATGTACTCTCTATGATCTCATAATAAGGTTTGTATGTAATAATATTACAAAAACAGAAACATGCACCAATTCATAAATTTTTCTTTTTGTTTTAAGGGGGGAAACAGTTCAGGATATAAGAAATTTATAGAAGAAAAAGGTATAGTGGATGAAACTCCCAATGAAAACTTGGTAGCCTTGTTTCGAGTTCAAGGCACAAGTCCAGATAATATGCAGGCCATCCAAGTTGATCAAGTATGGTTCAATGACTCTTACATTTTTTATTCACGGTGGATAGCTTTTATATCTTCATTATATCTTATCTCTATCTATTCTTTTTTGCGTCAATTGCTTTTTTTTTTATCACTCGCAAAGTTATATTCAGGCTTGAAATAAGCTGTTACTGAAGTTAGAGTTCCTATTATTTTAATGTTAATTTAAGTTTTATTCCGAAGTATTAGTTGCTATTGATTATCATGTATTACGATTGTTCTAGGTTTCAAGTTCCCTGAATTCATCCTATTGCTATATTCTCCGAAGCGAAGCTGCTATGTATACTTGGATTGGGGGCCTATCTTCAGCAAGAGACCATAATCTTCTTGATAGAATGGTGGAACTGTTTAATGTATGTCATTGCAATATGAGACCTTGCTATAAATTTTTATCTTGGCAATATCTTCAAAGGAAGTAATTGATAATAAGTTTTGAGCATTTGTTGATACAAATTGCAGCCGACACAGCTACCTGTATCTGTAAGGGAAGGGAATGAACCCGATATTTTTTGGGATGTTCTTGGCAGAAAGGCAGAATATCCAAGAGAGAAAGAGATTCAAGGATTCATAGATGATCCACATCTGTTTGCCTTAAAAATAACCAGAGGTAACAAAATGAACCTTTTGAGAAAATAATCTAGATCTCGCTTGGTTTAGAATTATCGTGCGTGAATTGACAGGGAAAACATGTCTAATTGATGGTTATGTTTCTCACGCAAATTTATTGGAATTTCAACTCAGGAGACTTCAAGGTATATTACTTCTAGATATTCAAAAGTTTCATGTAACTACTATGAATTGAATGTGGCTAATTCAATGCGACCTTCATGTAATCTTTCAGATGAAAGAGGTATACAATTATACACAGGATGACTTAATTACTGAAGATGTTTTATTGCTCGATTGCCAAAGAGAGATTTATATTTGGGTTGGTTTACATTCGGTTGTCAAATCGAAACAAGAAGCTCTCAACCTTGGCCTGGTAAGTTATCTTCTTTCCACCTTTATTGATCAAGTTTGTTTGTTATGTCTCCATTATTCAATATTCACTAGCTGTTTGATTAGCTCCATCTTCATAACTAATTTATTCATGTAAAAAATGAAGTCAAAATTTTCAAGTATCAATGTAGTATGGATTCACTCTTTCCTACAATATGTTTTTCTTATCATGAAAATTCGTCATGATCAGAAATTTTTGGAAATGGATGTCCTTGTCGAAGGCCTATCCGTGGAAGTCCCTATATATGTTGTAATGGAAGGTTATGAGCCTCCGTTTTTCACTCGTTTCTTTTCATGGGATCACTCGAAAGCAAATGTAAGTCTTCTCCCTTCGAAGTTATCAATACCAGTCAGTGATCAAATGCCATTTTTCTTGAGATCACTGACTATGAAGCACGGACACAGACATGACACCGACACTGACACATCGACACCGGTAATAGTTTGAAAAAACGAATAAATTGAAGGTAATCACAAGTGCCGGTGTCGCTATCCGACACTGACATGGACACAGACACGCCTTTTTCAGAGGTGTTGGTGCTACAGAGATCACTGAACAACATACAGTGATGCTCGAATTTAAGAAACATTCAAGGTAGTTGTCATCCAGCTTATTAATTATGTTAAATTATATGGTATTGTTGCAGATTCTTGGTAATTCATTTGAGAGAAAACTTGCAATTCTGAAAGGAAACTCCAGAGACTCTACCCCTAATGGTCATAAAAGCAGTTCTAACATTCCCAGTGGCCGTCGTAGAAGTAGTTCGCCTCTACCTCGGAGTGCAGGCTCAGACTATAGGCAATCGGGCAATCGTCGTTTTTCAAGCCCCACTCCAGTTGGCAAGAAACTCTTTGAAGGATCTCCTGCCAATAACAGAGCCGGTAACAATAATCCTTTTTATCAACTTACGATACGAAATTTAGGGCCTGTTTGGATTAATTTATTTGAGCTTATCATCTGACATAAGCACTTGTCAGATTGTTTGGAAAAGTATAGAGAAACACATCAAATACATATCCTTTAATCTTTGTTATTTTTCTTTACCAATAATTTCTGCAGAACAAACAACAACGCCACTGTCTGATTCTCCATCAACAGAACTGGCCTCCTCAAATGAGACTGCAAGTTTCACCGAGAAGGACAGAAATTATAACCGTGAGAGTTTGCCGATACACCCGTACGAGCGCCTTCGAGTGGTTTCTCCGAATCCAGTAACCGGCATCGATTTAACCAAACGAGAGGTACTTCCTTAACTAAAGAAATCTAGCATTCAGTTTTCTCACATTTCACTCAAGCTTAACTGTTGTTATCTGTATTGCATTATTGTGATGAAACTGTAGGCATATTTATCTCATGAAGAGTTCCACGAAAAGTTTGGAATGCAAAAATCTGCATTCTATAAACTCCCTAGATGGAAACAAAACAAGCTGAAGATTTCACTGGATCTATTTTAGAGGATGAACAACAAATGTCCGTGTTTTAGTCATGGCACTATATTTCAACACTATATATAGCATGATACAATTTTACCTCTCGAGTGTGTATTATGCATGCGTGAATAGCTTACTACACATTTATTCTTTCATTTTGTTTTATAATAATATACTATTGTGTGATGTAGAACTTGTTCAGTTTTTCCCTAAAAGATAAAGATGGGTTGAAAAGTATACTCGTTTTTACTTGTTGATGTATTTTTTTTGCTTTTAGAAGTACGCGGACCATAATACTTTCTAAATTACAAAGAAAAATTGGTTTCAACATGAAAAGATTGTTGAAGAAAATCAAAGGGTTGTTTGCCTATTTACTGTTTATCTCTGTTACAGCTATTATGATTTTAGGATTTTCTATTATTATTGTCATTCTCCTTAATTTAAAGAGATATTGGGCCAACCTTAAAATCCGACGCTAACTAAGATTTAGTGTCACTGTAGCATCGATATTGGGCCAAGTTAAAAACCTGAGAAGGTATACATAGTGTCAACTAGGAACCAACTGACTCTAAAGTAGTCTTGGCAAAGTCACGTCAACCCAGACATTATGTCTCTGCTGATGCTAATATACTAAAGAGACAAAAATCAACAAAAGAAGGTAGGATCGGTCAACGGTATAGTCAACTTTTAAAAAGTTAAAAAAAGAAATTAGTGTTGATATCAACGACATTATAGCCAACTTTTAAATGATCAGCAAAAGAAAGTAGGCCCGACTTGACCGATACTATTGTCAACTTTTAAAGTCATTAAAAGAAGGTAGGAACCTCATCAGCACTATAGTCAACCTTTAAAAGGCCAACAAAAAGAAAGTAGGCTCGACCGAGTCAACACTATAATAACCTTTACAAAATCAACAAAAGATGTTATCGTTATTGGAATTAAACCAATTTCCATTCAAGAATTTCACCACAACTTGATGAATTCCAAACCAATTCTTGATGAACAAGAATCAATCTTTTTGATTGATTATCACACTTGTTCTTTACTCTTCACTCGAGTGAATCAACTACTTTTGGTTGCAAGATTTTGCTGCACAATAATAATGAAAGAAATAAATAAAATTGAATTGAGAAGAAGTTAGGGTTTCAATGTGAGAGGGAAGAGAAGAGAAAGAGTTGTAAATTCAATATAGTTTCTCTCTGCTTCTCAAATTGAGAAATATTATTCAACTGTGCAACTGCACTTCTGTTGTGTTACAATTCATAATATGGTTACTTACTTTTTATAGATTTTGGCTTGCTTTCTCCTCAAGTATGGCCCAAAATACCTAATTTTTCTAATGCTACAAAATTTGATCTGATTGGAAATTCCTGTCGAGACACACTTTGACATTTCGACACTAACACGATTTCGACACTTCCTTGCTTTCGTCGAACAACCTATTTAGACACAAGGAATTACAATTCAACACATCACTTAATTCATTGTGTCTAAGCTATCTACATTTATCATAGACCTTAGTCTTTTGAACACTTTGACCTACACTCATTTCGTCATGATGTTTACAAACTGTTTCTCAGTTCTGCAGTGTTCTAAGTTACACTTTGCTTCTTTCGTGATACCAAGGCTTGTCGTCGATGATTGCTTCAACTGCAAATATGTAAGCGGGCCTGTCAAGGCACATTATGTCAATCTTGGGTACGTCATTCCATCGATTCACAATAATCATGGAGGATAGAGTAGCTAATGCGTCATCCATGTTGTTTTCTTCACGAGGAATGTGATGAAAATCAATTTTGTTTAAAAAAGGTAACAACCTTCTTGCGTAGTCTTTATAAGGGACTAATCCAATCTGGCGAGTGTCCCATTCTCCTTTGATTTGATTTATAACCAAAGCAGAGTCTCCATACACATCTAAATTTTGTATCCTTAAGTAAATGGCTTCTTCGAGACCCATGATGCAAGCTTCATACTCAGTCTCATTGTTTGTACATTTGAATGTCAATCTGGCGGTGAAAGGAATATGGGTACCTTGAGGCGTAACAATGATTTCCCCAATTCCGTTTCCATATGCGTTGACAGCTCCGTCGAATATTAGTCCCCATCGGGATCTTGGCTCTGGCCCTTCGTCTGGTAACGGTTCGTCGCAATCTTTCATATTTAGGTACATCATGTCCTCGTCCGGGAAGTCAAATTTGATTGTTTCACTATCATTAATTGGTTGGTGAGCCAGATGATCAGCTAGAATACTCCCATTGACGGCTTCTTGAGCATGATACTCGATGTCATATTCTAATAGCAACATCTCCCAACGGGAAATTCTTCTAGTTAAAGTAGGCTTTTCGAATACATACTTGATCGGATCCATTTCAGAGATTAACCAAGTGGTATGAAAAATCATATATTGGCGAAGACGTTTAATAGCCCAACCTAAAGCGCAACAAGTTTTCTCAAGCATAGTGTATCAGGTTTCACAGTCAGTGAATTTCTTACCCAGGTAATAAATGACATACTCTTTTCTTCTTGTTTCATCTTATTGACTCAACACACAACTCATGGAATCTTCTAGGACTGTCAAGTAGATGATCAGGGGTCTTCCTTCTACTGGAGGAGACAAAATTGGTGGATTCAACATATATTCTTTGATACTTTCAAAAGATTTTTGGCAATATTTTGTCCACATACATCCTTGGTTCTTTCGGAGGAGCTTAAAAATCGGCGCGCATGTCGCTGTCATGAGAAATATGAACCTTGAGATATAATTTAGGCATCTAAAAAATCCTCTTACTTGATTTTCTGTTCTGGGTGAACGCATTTCTTGGATAGCCTTGACTTTGTCGGGATCAACTTCGATTCCTTTCTAGCTGAGGATGAATCCCAAAAGCTTTTCTGAGCGAACACCAAATGTACATTTGTTGGAATTCAGGCAGAGTTTGTATTTTCTCAGACGCTTGAATAGTTTTGATAAATCTTCCACACGTTCTTCTTCTGTTTCAAACTTAGCAATCATATCGTCCACATACACTTCAAGTTCTTTGTGTATCATGTCATGAAATAGAGTTTTCATTGCCCTTTGATAAGTTGCTCCTGCATTCGTTAATCCAAACGACATTACTTTGTAGTAAAAGGTTCCCCATAGCGTAATGAATGAAGTTTTCTCCATATCTTCTGGTGCCATCTTGATTTGATTATAGCCTAAAAATCCATCCGTGAAGGAACATACTTTAAACTTTGTAGTACTATCAATCAACATATCAATGTGTGGTAAGGGAAAGTCATCCTTCGGACTTGCTTTGTTTAGATCCCTGTAGTCCACACACATTCTAAATTTTCCATCCTTCTTGAGAACTGGCACTATGTTGGCTAGCCACTGAGGATATTCTGACGTGGCAAGGAAGCCTGAAACGATCTGCTTTTGGACTTCTTCTTTGATTTTGATGGCCATCTTTGGATGGGTCCTTCTCAATTTTTGTTTGACTGGTGGACATTCTGGATTTAATGGCAAATGATGTTCTACAATGTTGGTATCCAACCCTGACATATCTTGGTAAGACCAAGCAAACACATTTGGAAATTCTTTGAGAAGCTGTACCAGACTCTTTCTAACAATTGCACTGAGAAGGGATCCAATCTTAACTTTTTTTCTTTCTTCTTTTGAACCCAAATTAACCGTTTCCAATGACTCTTTATGGGGTCGAATGGACTTTTCCTCCTGTTTTAGTAGTCGGGAGATCTCATCTGGAATTTCTCCGTCCTCTTCTTCTTCGGCTTTAAATATTGGGAACTTAAAGTTGGGAGAAGGCATTGGATCCTTTATTTCAACGGGGTTTTTAGCAACAAATCTACATAATGTGATTGATGATTCTCTTTTAAAGAAGATAGAAAAAATGCAAAAAATGGTGTTCAGTGTATTTTGAAAACGTTTGTTTTATTTTTTTTGTTTTATTTTAGGATTACCATTTTCTGAAAAAGCCAAAAAACAAAAACAACAACAAATGCGGGAATTTAGAATGACATCTTTATTTATGATTTGTTGGTTCTTGAAACACAAGCCCTATAAAAAACTCACCGACCTTGGGCAAGGCAGAGATGAAATATTTATAGGAGATTATGCCCTATAAAACATCCTTTCACCCAGTTAAGGTGAGAGGTCGAAATAAAGACGAGGCAATTACTTTGAGACGTGAACAACATTCAGGACAACAAAAACTATCTAATTGTGACGAACTCCTCTGTGAATTACAAAGTATGACACTTTCCTTTCGGGATTGTCTTTGGTAATGACACTGACTTCTGGCGGAGTCGGATTACTGGAGTCTTCTTCCCATGCAGATTTATTAGTAGAGAACTTTCTGTTGCATTTCCACATGTTTCTTCTTGATCATGCGGATCTCCCTATCCAGTTGGTTGGATGTCTTCAAACAAGATGCGAGAGCTTTCAGGGGCATAAAACTTTACCAGGAAATCAAACTTTCTACTTGGCTATCCCAATGTATCCCAAGTTTCTGAGGGGTTATCTTCCTCGATGACATTGACTTCAGGTAGTGCAAAGTTGATAAATTCTTGTCCAGCAATTCTCGCGACTTTATTGAGACGATGACTGGCATATTCAGGATTTTATGAGTAAGGCCTCCATGCTTCTGAAGGAACAAATGAATATTTTTAAGGGTTATCTGGAAAATATGCATTCTCGGACTAGCTTTGATATCCTGGATCTTCCATGTATGGTTCCTAAATAGGTAAATCATCCATGGGATCATCGAAGCTGTAGTCAAAGCTATCTTTCATCAAAGTATCAGTTTCTAATGAATTAGGGGGGAGTACAACATCCTTTAGTACCGTTATCTCCGTAGATCATCTTGACATCTGAATTTAGTATATATCTTGACTTTTGTTATGGATTGCAATTTTGTTATGGGTACCCTGAGGTGTAACAATGATTTCCTCAATTCTGTTTCCATAAGAGTTGATAGCTCTGTCGAATATTAATCCCCATTAGGATCCTGGATCTGTCCTTTCTCTTG